ACCCCCCACCCCCCAAAAAAGACATCAAGGCTGAGATAGGAAGTTGCTTTCCTAGCTAATAAGTGATAGATTTGGAACTCAAATCTAGGTCCTTCACTACACAAAATGTGATATTTATCCAAATAAAAGACTGAATCTGGACCGTTTTCCTTTCTTCCTAGGCTTACATTTTACATTAATCCAGTTTGGTAGGCTTTACCTCAGAAAGGGACCCTGTATTCTGTACTAGATCAGTGCTTTTTTTTTTTAATTTTTAAAAAAAATTGTTGATGAACCTTTATTATTTACTTATTTGTTTATTTATATATGGTGCTGAGAATTGAACCCAGTGCCTCACACATGCTGCACTGAGCTACAACCCCAGCCCTAGGTCAGTGTTTTCCAGTCCTACCACATATCCAATATTCTTTCTCTTTACTGACTAGGAAAGACTGATCTTTTTGGCATCCCTCAGTATTACCTTTTAAAACCTCAGGAATTATGTTTAAGACTTTATTACCCAGAATTCAGTTTGCTCATTTGAAAAATAGAGATGATACCACTTATTCCATAGGACTGTTGTAAAAGCAAAGAGATAATGCAAATCTTGTTTAAGCAGAAATTGGGAATTTATGATTAAGGTAGGTGTTTCACAGAATCAAAGGAAGAAATAGAAACAAACTATAAAGAACCAAGGTGGTTCTTTTTTTTTTTTTTTTGTAGTTGTAGATGGATACAATACCTTAATTTTATCCATTTATCTTTATGTGGTTCGAGGATTGAACCCACGTGTCAGGAAAGCACCCCACTGCTGAGCTATAGCCCCAGCCCCCCAAGATGGTTCTTTAATTCTGTTTCTCTATTGCTCTCTGCACATCTGTACTATGTTCTCTTTCTCTCCTCTGGTCTACTTTGTAGAAGATAGACACCTCCAGTTTCCCAATTCAACCTCAGAGAGAACATCTATTCCACTTCTGGATTCCTAGAGAAGGAATTCTAGTTGGCCCAGTATGGGTTAGATATTCTTCCCTGGACTAGTCAACTTTGGTTGGACAGGAGGTAGTATCATGTATAGGCCAGAGTGCCAAGTACTTACCCACCCTCATAGATATTTTGGGGAGTGGGTAGTATTCACTTAAGAGGGTACTTTTATGTCACTGCATTCATGAGAGTCTTTGGGAATGGTAGGATTATATATGTGATCACTGTGCTGTTGTTCCTTACTTTGCCCTTACCTTAACGATCTTTCTAGAGGATCTGTTTTATCCAATCTGTGAGATGCCTTGGTGAGAGTCTGGTCTTACAGGTGCCTTACCTGGGTCTTGCTTTGATTGCAGGGTAGGACCAAAGAGATGTGGTTTCCAAGGTAATCAAGAATAGTAAAAATAGACTTTAAAGAAGCTGGGTTTTGGGTTTAGTATTTCCAGGGTGCCCAGCCCTCCAAACCACTAATTCTTTGTTTCTCTTTGCTCAGGGAGATGGTACCGGAGTTGCCAGTATTTACCGGGGGCCATTTGCAGATGAAAATTTTAAACTTAGACACTCGGCTCCAGGCCTTCTTTCCATGGTAAGTGAGGTTCAGTCAAGAATTTGGGTTAGGTTGATTGCAGGTTTCTGGACCCACGTGAGGCCCAATCCTGTCTCTGAATAGGAGCAAATGTTTTCCTTCTTTTGCTTGACTTTGGCCTCACATCTGCCACCCCCACCTCCTTCCTTAGTCTGGTTGTTGGGCAAGGCCTACTAGCCTTTATTACCCAGACTTCAATTTGCTCACCTGAAACATGGAGAAGAAAATCACATTCTGATGTGTTTCTTACTTTTGTGTGAGACAGGATATGTGGCTGGGCATTCAGCTTTATGGCTCAGAATGCAACTAGTTGTGCTCTCAAGACCTGGTGTTCACCTACTCATTGTCCTACCCATGGTCACGCACTCACTGCAGCTGTTTACCTACGCTGCCTGCTGGCCACTCACCTGCTTTTCTCACTCACCTCTTGTTCATCCGTCCTGCTCCGATGTCCCACCACCCTGACCTCCATTTATAATCTCTGGTATCTCAACCCCCTTTACAGTCTTCTGTTCTCCTCACTCTCCTCCATACTCGCTTCTGTGTATTCATCCCTCACTCATCCTTTGCCTTATTCTTCCCTCTTTCTTCTCTCTCATTTACCACCCATAGCACCAATTTCCCTCCATCAATACCCCAAGTCTCACTTTCCCAGTCCTAATATTTACATGCATAATCTCTGTCCTGCTTGCACACTCTTCACAGCCACTTTGTTTCAGTTCTTATGGTATAAGAATATACCATAAGAATATGGTATAAGAATATAGCCTTGAGCCGGGCGTGGTGGTGCCTGTCTGTAATCCCAGCAGCTAGAAGGCTAAGACAGGAGGATCGAAAGTTCAAAGCCAGCCTCAGCAATAGTGAGGCACTAAGCAACTCAGTGAGACTCTGTCTCAAATCAAAATACAGAACAGGGCTGGGGATGTGGCTCAGTGGTTGAGTACCCCTGAGTTCAATCCCTAGTACCTGCCCCCCCCCAAAAAAAAAAAAGAATATACCCTTGATTCCTGCCATTGTGATACTTACCATTACCACTTACCAGGGGAAACATGCAAGTAAAATGACTAGTTTGGTATAGTGTAGTCTGTGCCATCAGGGTATAAAGGTGAGGGTGCCTCTATGGACATAAAAAGGACTGGGAAGGCCCAGAGGAATGAGAATGATGCTTCTAGGGGTAGGAGAAGCCTTCACAGAAGAAAGGACATCTGAGTTCTTAAATAAATTTTGTACTAGATAACAAGAAAAAGGAACATTTCAGGTACAGCAAACAGGTTCTGCAAAGGTCCAAGACCATAAAATAGCAGGACTGAATATTCAAGGGTCAGAAAGTGATAAAGGTAATGAGAGCAGAGGATGCAAATGGGAGGAGGGAATGACCAGTAGAGAAACTGAAGGGGCAGGTAGATCTAGCTCCTGAAGGGCTAGAAAAAGGTTGAGGTGTATGGGCTTGCTTTTCTTGTTTTAGAGAGCCATATTACACTCCTTTGAATAGAGTTGATCAACTTTGTGTTTGAGAATGAAGACTCTACCTGTAGTGTGAGTGGCATTTGGGAAATTGAGGCAAGGAAGTCATTAAGAGGCTGCCCTAACAATTGGGCAAGACTAGATTAGCAGTTTGCAAGTCCTTTTAGTAAAAAAGCCAGACTGGATAAGCACAGGTAAAAGGTGCAAAACCAGCTAAGGTGGGCTTATCTTTGCTGTGAGAATTAAAACCCCTCTCTGGTCATGGCATAGTGCTAGCACCTGTGGAGGAGTTGGAAAAATGGAAGGAAGCCTTGGTTTCTGTCCCCTTTAGGCTGATACTAACTAAGGTGGGTTTTGTTGTTGTTGATGTTTGTTTGGTTTTGGTACTGGGGATTAAACCCAAGGGTGCTTTACCACTGACCTTTTTATTTTTCATTTTGAGACAGGGTCTTATTATTAAGATTGGCCTCAAACTTGCAATCCTCCTGCTTAAACTTCTTGAGTCACTGGGATTGCTGACATGTGCCACTGTGGCTGGCATTATTGGCCAGGCATTATTGGCCAAGTTGTGCTATTGTAAGTCTTGTAGCATGGTTGTTTTGGCTTCCATCTTTCCATTGAATTCTTCAAGGACAGAAGTGAGTCTCCTGATTACCAGGCCTTTCTTCCTATCATAGAAAGGCTATTGAACAAATGCTGATGAGTGACAGAATAACAATCAGAATAGTGGGTAACATTTATTGGATACTTAATAAGCACCTTACCTGCCTTATTTCATGTTAATACTCTCCAAACTCTGTTTGAGATAGGTAATGAGGAAACAGACACAGATAGGTCACATGTCTAAAGTAAGGTCACACAGCCAGTGATAGAGTTGGGGTTCAAGCTAGGTTATCTAGCTACAGTTTATTCTCTAAACATAAGCTATACCACCAGAAGAGTGAATAAATAAGTGCCTAAGGACAGAGTATTCCTGAGCTACAAAAATGTTCATATGACTTTTTGTTTTTGTTTGCTAAAAAATGATTATACTGATCTGCAAAATAAAGATAGATGGAATAAGGTCCCTGGGAATTCTGATCCCTTGTTCCAAAGCATGGACCTATTTTGGACAGCTCAGGTAGTCCCTTACTTTCATATATGAGATGTTCTTTTTACATGTGTATGGTACTAGGGATTGAACACAGGGCCTCATGCATGTTAGGCAGACTCTTTGCCACTGAGTAACATCCCAGCACTTTTTATTTTGAGACAGAGACTTACTAAATTGCCTAGGCTGGTCTCAAATTTGTGATTTTCTTGCCTTCACCTCCTGAGTAGCTGGAATTTCCAGTGTGTGCCACTGTACTCAGCTGAAATTTTGTTGTTGTTGTTGTACCAGGGATTGAACCCTGGGGCGCTTAACCATGGAACCATATCCTCAACATCCGCGCCCCCCTCACCCTTTTTAATATTTTTATTTGAGACAGAGTCTCTCTAAGTTGCTTAGGGCCTTGCTAATTTGCTGATGCTGGCTTTGAACTTGCAATCCTCTTGTCTCATCGTATGCTAAGATTACAGGCATGTGCCATTGCACCTGGCAAGATGTTTTTGAATACATGTATGAATGCCAAAAATAACCTCATTTTACTCTCTTTATCTTACAAAAACTAAAATAGGCTCATCTTACATAGGAGATTTCTAAAGCATAATATAAAATTACTTAGAGATTATCCCTAGATATTGGCTTTAATATTTTGCTAGTATTTTATGAATTTTTTTTCCTTCATAGTTGAACACAGACTCAACCATTTTAAATTCATTAAACTATCTGATTAAGACTAGTGACCTACTTAAGTTCCAGTTTTGCTGGGCAAGCGCATGCCTATAATCCTAGCAGCCTGGGAAGCCAGGGCAGGAAGATCATGAGTTCAAAGCCAATTTCAATAATTTTTTTTTTTTAGTTGTAGATGGATACAATTTTTATTTATTTATGAGACCTATGTTTCTTTTTAGTACAAGAAGCACTTTCAGTTTTCCATTTCCTACTCCTTTTTTCCCAGAATAAGAGAAGTTATGCAATAAAATTTTCACATAGTTACATAGTCACTTGTTAGGTAGTGCTGCTGAAACAACTTGGCTTTGCTTGTATACAAAGTCTGAACTTAGCATTTTAAAGGCAATTTAGTGATACATATAAGAAATGTTTTTTGATACATATAAGAAATGTTCATATGAGAAATGTAAGTATCACTGCACTGAAACTATAACCTATTCATTCATAATACATTATTAAATATAATGATGTTAAAACAATTTCAAGAGAGGAAAAGGAGAGATACAGCTATAGTTTCAGATTCTCAATTTAAAATAATACTTTTTATGATAAAATTCAATAATAAAAGGTTTGAGGTATAACCGTAAATATAAACAATCACAAAACAAACATGATAGTTTGTTATAAAGCTATTTATTGATTGATTTGAGATGGTCTTAACTTGTTGCCCAGGTCAAACCTTGAACTTACCATCCTCCTGCCTCATCTCCGCAGGTAGCTGGGATTACCAGTGTGTGTCACTGCCCAGATAGTATAAAGCCATTTAAGATAAAAAGTTTATTGCATAGGCAACAGGTCTTTTCCTAGCAGGCACTGAATTTGTAACTGAAATCCATTTTTAACCAGTTTTGGACTAAATATACCAAATTATGTCCCATGAATAATTGTTTCTCTTAGAAAAATTATCATTTAGGAGAAATGTACATTTATTAAAAGATATAATTCCTCTGGGACAGGAATTGTGTGTTATTTTCTTCCCCGTATCCTAGTGTTCTAGAAGAGGCTGGATCATGATCAGTGCCCTGTTAGATTTGCTGAAAGAGAACATAGATGAATCAGGCTCTTTTGGGAATCTTGCACTTAACTAATATGGCCAGGGAAACTTACTGCAAATATATTTCATTTATATCAGGCAAACAGTGGTCCCAGTACAAATGGCTGTCAGTTCTTTATCACCTGCTCTAAGTGTGACTGGCTGGATGGGAAGCATGTAGTGTTTGGTAAGTCCTACTCCTGTCCCATTGTCCAAGTCCCACTAACCCCAGGTGGGCCTTCCAGATCCGGTCTCCAAACTCTCACTAAGAGTGTTCAAGTGGTCAGGCGCTGTGGCACACGCCTAGAATCCCAGGGGCTTGGGAGGCTGAAACAGGAGAATTGCGAGTTCAATACCAGCCTCAGCAACTGTGAGGCACTAAGCAACTCGTTGAGACCCTGTCTCTAAATAAAATACAAAATAGGACTGGGGATGTGGTTCAGTGGTGGAGTACCCCCGAGTTCAGTCCCTAGTACCAAAAGAAAGAGTGTTCACATAGTATAACTGTTCTAGGTAGTAATAGGGAAGGTGGATATTGTAGGAAGGTGGGGAAAATGTGTGGTTAGGGAACTAGAAGGAAGGACAAAGGACCATCCGATATAGTATGTAACCATTTGGGTAATATGTATTCTAGGGGAAAGCCCAGATGCTATCATTAAAGAAATGCCACAGAAGCAGCATGATACAGTGGGGCTTTGGAATTGCTTAGGCCTAAACTTGAACCCTGACTACTTAGTACCTGTGACCTTGGATAAGTCATTTCACCTCTCTGAATTTCAATTTTCAGAAGTTAGTAAGAGGATCTAATGAGATAATAGTTAAGAATCTGCATTGGGAATTGGAAAATGCTATGCAAATGTGAAAAATAAAGTCTAGTTCTTTTTATAGGAAAAATCATTGATGGACTTCTTGTGATGAGAAAGATTGAGGTAAGTCTTTATTCAATGTCTTCTTTCTCAGTGTTTCTGATCTGGTACTATCTGACTAGCAGTGAGGAGATAAAGTATGAGTGGACTTCAGTTTGTTAGGCCCAGTTGTTATTGTCTCTGGTTTCACAATTGCCTCAGGAACAGGAGGGAATGCCTCTCAAGTTTTCTTGGCTCTGGAAACTAATCTCTCTAGCCAATACTGAGGTTTGGCCTCTGATAACCTTGTCACCTATTTGATAAAATTCCATTCTCAGCTTTACATTCAAAATCCTTCATGATCTGGTCTCTGCCTACCTCTACATGGCCCCTTCTTTTGACACTTCCTCCTTTGTGTTCCAGTCACATCAGACTATTAGCTCTTCTCTAAATGTGCCATTTCTGTGCCCACATCTATTCTTCCCTATTCCTGAGCCTTTGCTCATGTCCTTCCTCTACCTGGAGTGCTCATGTTTTTCTTCCTGGTGGGATCCCGTTTATTCACACTCCAATGTCTCCACTCTGTGAATCCTTCCTTGACTTTTTTTTTTTTTCCTGCCTTTTAAAAAATTTTTTAATTTGTTCTTTTTATTTACACGTAACAGTAAAATGTATTTTGACATGTCACACATACATCGGTATAACTTCTCATTCTTGTGGTTGTACATGATGTGGAATTACACTGGAGGTGTATTCATATATGAGCAGAGGAAAGTTATGTCCAATTCATTCTACTATCTTTCTTCCTTCTTTAAGCATCACTTAATTATTCCATTTGTCCCTTTTTCATCTATTTCTTAATATTTATTACATTGTTATATATCACAGGATTGCTATTTTCTTAGTGTTTTACATTTTCTCTTTGATTTGCGTTATATGGTTTATCTGTGTGCAAGGACATATATTTTCATATTGGCCTCTTGAGTTACTGAATCCTTAGTATAGGGAGAGAGCTGGCGGGTGTCAGTAAATGTTTGAGGGAGTGAGCAAGTCCCTGAGTGAATGAATCTTCACTGCGCTTTCTTTTCTAGAATGTTCCCACAGGCCCCAACAATAAACCGAAACTGCCTGTGGTAATTTCACAGTGTGGGGAGATGTAGTCCAGACCAAGACTGAGTCAGGTAAGTGTGTTCTCTCCTATTTGTTAGGAAGGAGTAAGGCTCCAAAGAAGGCAGTTTTGGTCTAGTAGAAAAACTTAAAAGACATGGATAGGATTGAACCCACTTCCTCTCTGTGTAACTTTAGAAAAATTTCTCTTGAGCTTTTCCCCTCATCTGTCAGAAGGAGAGGATACTTATCCCTTAAGGTCATCACAAGAAACAAAAGAGAAAGGATTATGGAAGTACATTACTTTTCTTTTAATCTGAAAACCACTCAGGCAGTTTGTAACAGCACTGTCAAACTATAGCTCCATTCACTAGTCCAACTAGAAGGACCTGACTCCAACCCTGGGCAGCTCTACTGGGATCAGCCAGGAGACATATCTGTCAGGCTTCTCATCAGAACTGATGTTGCAGTTAGGCCCTAACTTTAAACGCCTTACATTGCTCTGTCTTCATGAACTCCATTCCTTCGCATAGTATACTACTTCCTTCTCTGAGCCGGGCAGCAGGCTAGTAAAAAATTCAAAGGTCTCTACCTTTCAAGAGCTCCTAGGAATTAAGACATCCTTGGAGGTGATCACTACTAATAAGAGTGAGATTATAAGTATTTTGAGACAACAAGGGAAAAATGGGTCACTCCCACCTAGGTGAGGGATGGTGGTATTTTGTCTGTCTTTTTTTCTTTTTTTCCAGATTTGCAGAAAAGTTGGGAAAACAGTACATTGAACACTAGATTCACCATTGATTAATGTTTTTGTTTTATTGTTTTGCCTTGACATTTGTTTTTGCTTTCCCTTCTTCTCTCCACTCCCATTTCCACTCCCTCTCCTCCTTTTTCTTATTCATTTTCCCCTCCTTTTTCTTCCCTTCCTCCTTCTTTCTTTCCCTCCTTTCCATTTTTTCCCATTTTAATATTGCAGACTTCTTAAGCGTACATAACCAGAATAATATTATCTAATATATAGTACATGTTCAGACTTCCCCCGAAGTAACTTTTAGAGCTTTAAAACAAAAAGATCCTGGCCAAGTGTGGTGTCTTGTGCCAGCTAATTCAGGAGGCTGAGGCAGGAGGATCACATGAACCCAGGAGTTCAAGACCATCCTCAGCAACACAGCAAAACCCCATCTCAAAAAAGAAAAAGAAAATTTAAAAGTTCAGTCAAGATTCCTATCATATTTCATTTGGTTCTTTATTTTTTAATTACACAAGTAACAATATGATCTCTTTTGAAAATTTTCACACCAAAGAGATGAAATAAAAGCCCCCTGAAATCCACATTCCCTCTCACAAGTCATTTCCTTATCAGTTTGAGAATTTTTTTTTCCTTTTTGTGGTGCTGAGGATTGAACCCAGGGCCTCAATGCATGCTACAAAAGTACTCTACTACTGAACTACATCCCAGCCTCTTGGTTTGATATATGTTCATTGGGACATCTAATTTTGGAAGGATTTGTTTTTCCTAATTTGTACTAGATTGTTCTTTTTTTTCTTTCTATTTGGCATTATGTCTTTTTGGGGTGATTGGATACCAGGGATTAAACTCTGGGGCCCTCATCCACTGAGCCACATCCCTAGCCCTATTTTGTATTTTACTTAGAGACAGTCTCACTGAGTTGCTTAGGACCTCTCTAAGTTGCTGAGGCTTCTTTGGATTCGTGATCCTCCTGCCTCAGCCTCCCAAGTGTCTAGGATTCCAGGCTTGCACCATCGCACCCAGCTTGGCATTATGTCTTGATAATTTGTCCTTCTTGGTTCATATGAAACTATCTTATTTAAAACAGAACTATAATAAATACTCTTATCAGACATTTGTACCATATAGTTTCCCCTTAATGATTTGAATATTTATACATTATAAATATTAGTTTTCTGTTTTATATGTTGTGACTGTTCTCTAGAATATACTGGCATTGTGTTATTTAAGGTTGAAAATATCCTCTGCTAACAGAAGTTCTAAATTTTGATGAACTCAAATTATCAATTCCTTATAACTTTTTAGTTTTGTCTTTAGAAGGTCTACACTTCCTCAGATCATAATGTCTTCTGTATTCTTTTGAGTATTTCAGTAGTTTTATTGTATACTTTAAATTATCTAGAATTTATTTTTCTGTATGGTGTAAGATAAGTTTCCTGTTCTTTTATCCAAATAGAGTCCAGTCAAATATCAGGCCATACTTTGTATCATACTTAGTATCATACTTTGTGTTCCAGCATCTGGCACTTATAGGCATTCAGTAAAAATTTCTTACATGGGATGATAGAGAGGGAGAATGCCAGGCATCTTAGACAGGGAACTGATGTGAGCAAATTCTGAGGAAGGCGTGCACAAGTGTATATTGAGTGCTGCAAGTGGACCACTCTCTTGTTCAACCAAATGGTATCTTCTTAGGCCCATTGATACACTGAGCCTTCCTTTCTGTTGATACTGAGGGCCCCTTGGACTCAACCTGTTCTCCCTCTTCAGTAGCTATTGGCCCTTCTTACATTTTCCCACTCATTTCTTTGTGTAACTAAAGTTGTACTCATAGGTCCTTTTTCCTTCTGAAGATTGACCATGGATTATACTGGAGGTCAGAAGATAACAAAATGAATAAAGTTTAGAAATTCTTTATTTTGGAGCCTCTTTTTCTGTAATTTTGTGAGTTCTTTATAGAAATTACTACAAGTTCCAATCTGTGCCCCCATGAAAGCCCCTCTTGCCAGCCTGCAACCCAAGTAGAACAGATTCCTCAGATGGGCATTTTACATTCCAGAGGCTTCCTCATCAGGACTGCCAAAACATAATCCTTTTTGTAATAATGGAAATGTTCCATGTCTGCACTGTTTAGTATGGTAGCTGCCTTCCACATGTGACATTTGAGCACTTGAAATGTGCTGGTGTGACCATGGGACTGAATTTTAAATTTCATCTAAATTTTTTTTTTAAGAGTCATATATGGCTAGTAGCTACTGTATTAGCCAGTGAACTCTCAACCTAGGTACCTAGGAACACTAATAAAAGCAGTTATCCCTTACTGAATACTTCTGTTGTCCAAATATTGAAATAAGAACTTCACTTGAATTATCCCATATTACCAAGAATCCCTATATTGGGGACAGAGTGACAGGTAGTATCATCCCATCATTTTTCTTCCCAGCTGTAAAGTTATAAGTATCTCTAATCTTGTAATCTATGAGATGAAGGAGCTGGGATGGAGATGGAAAACAGGTGAGGTCTCTGATCATTGGTACCTCCTATGGAGCAATTCCTCACAGAACTCTTTTATATTTTGCCTTCTCAGGATCTGACTTTGATTTTGTTAAAAATTAAGGTGTCTGCACAGCCCTAATGTAGAAGAAACCTTGGTTTTATCTTAGTGGGTCCTGGGAAATCTTTTAATGATGAATTGGGTTAGCTATAGCACAAAGGAATCTTGAACTCAGGATCTTCCTGCTATTGTCTGAATGGGTTCTTGGCTACTTACATGTACATGGGAGTCAGTGGTAGCTCTGGTTTCATAGCCTCGGTGTCTTGGAAGAGGGACTGGTTAGGCAGCGCTGCTAGTCTAATATGCTGTCTGCCTCCCTGTGATTCTCATACCTAATACTAGTTCCAAGTGGTAGACAGCTTTCCTTGGTTCATAGTTGCCTAAACTCCCATACAGATGAAAATCATTTGGGGGCACTTGCCAAACCTAACCTAATTTACAGATCCTCTCCTGCTTATCAAAGAAGTGTGAAAACCAACCTTTTATTTTAATATTTATACTTAGGAAAAAATATTAATACACACATATTATTATAGTTATAGTTTACAGTGAGACAATATTAAAATTCAAAGAGTGATAATGTTAAAAAAAATTGTACCTGTGGACAATAAATATGGTAGTAGTTGTGAAGGTGCTATTTGTTCCCCCCAGCCAATGCTGGAAATCAAAACCAGCATTGCTTATGCCTAAGCAAGCACTCTGCCACAGCTATATACATCCCCAGCCCTTAAGGTGCTATTTAAATGACTGAGGTATAGGAAACACTATCCCCCATTCTGGAATTACCTGGAGACATTCCGGTAGGTAAAGATTATACAAGATGTGTTGGTTGCAATTGGTCTTGTTCTCCATTCATTCCGTAAGTAAGCACTGATTGATTGATAGGTTTCATGGCTGAGTACAGTGGCATATACCTATAATCCCAGCTACTCAAGAGGCTGAGGCAGGAGAGTCACAAGTTTGAGGTCAGCCTGGGCAACGTGTGTGTGTGTGTGTGTGTGTGTGTGTGTGTGTGTGTGTATGTATCAGTTTGTGTCTATGTGTATCTGTCACTGGGGATTGAATCCAGGGTTGTTTTACTGCTCAGCTACAAACTAGACTTTTTTATTTTTAATTGGGAAGAGGGTCTCACGAAGTTGCCCAGACTGACCTCAAACTTATTATCCTCCTGATTCAGTCTCCTGAGTTGCTGAGATAACAGGTTGCACCCAGCTAGCCTATGCAACTTAGCAAGACCCTGTCTCAAAGACTAAAGAGCTGGGGCTGGGGTCCAGCACTTGCTTATTGTTAGTGAGGCTCTGCATTCCATCCCCAGTACTGGGGTGGAGGTGAGGGTGGGGAGCACTGGATTAAAGGTTTTAGAACAAGGAAAATGTGAAGGAGGCCTGGTTCTGCCTGGAGTGGATTGGGAAACAGCTGAAGTTCTACAAGAAAGAATAGACCTTGTCAGGGACTAAGACTGAGATCATTCCTGACAGAGGCAAAGCATGTGCAAAGGCATAAAGGTAAGAGAGCAGTGTAGGGGGAACCACAAATAATTCAGTATGGCCAAAGTGGAAGAAAATGAAGCTGGAGGAAGGCCAGAGCCAGTGCCAGGCAAATAATTCTTATGCTCTTCTGAGAGGAGGGGATGGGCTTCACACAATCCTCCTCTCCCTGAGAGAGTCCATTGTGTTCCCATGATTCTCAAAGGGGGTCCTGATCCTCCAAAAAGAATTAGTCCAATGAGCCAATGAGAGATTTGGGGCAGGAGAATCTTACAGATGAATTTTCTTCTTCAGAAGATTCTGATAGCATGGACTGGAGGCTAGTAGGAGTTACTGTAATCCAGGCAAGAGAAAAGAGAATCCCCATGAAAATAGGTCTAGGGAGTACCCTGTGAGATGTGGTAGTTTATACTTGGATGCCTTGGAGTGTGTAAAACCGTTCCCTGTTGTGAAAGTTAGAAGCCTGTCAGCTGAAAAGGCAGGGGGGCCGGTGGGAGAATGTCAGGCTCCATTCCAGTTCAATCCAGTGCAAAGGTAAGCTGGCTGCAGATAACCGGGCCTTCCACACATGGAAATATGACTTGTAAGTGGAATGCTATTCAGCCTTAATAAAAAGAAAGAGGTAAGACCTCTGTGTAGTGGCAAGGTTTCTAAGGCAAATTGATGATCAAGATGGTGTACATTGTGTAAAAAGGGCACCATTTATATTGAATAATTATTTCAGAAATTTTCTGCAGTGAAAAGTAGTAGACTGTTGATAGATACTTCTTTAGAGTAGAAACAAAAGAGACTTTGTATTCAGTTTATATTGTCCTACTTGAATTTTTCACATTGAGCATGCTTTTTATAATAGAAGTATATACTATGCATATATGTAGTTCTAATTAATTCTAATTCCTCTCAGCCTCTCCCAAGAGCATGCCTCTAACTATATCTAACATCAGTTTATAAATCTTCCCTGATCTCTCTATCTTTTCCTCTCAGCTAGAAGCCTAGGCAGTGGTCCCACTTGAGTGCTCCCACAACACTTGCTTTCTCTAAAATGTGCTGGTATATTTTTCTCTGGACCAAGAATTTCTTGAAGCAAGGATCATGTTGACCAACCCAGTGCCTGGTCCAATAGAGCCAATGGTTCCAGTAGTGCCTGATCTTGGTGTACTATCAACTGATGAAACACATTTATTCATTTTTATACTGTTAAGTTGATGGCCCTTGGTTAAACTTTTTATTTGAGGTTTTTATTTGTTTGTTTGTTTGAATCCAGGGGCATCTTACCTCTAAATTATATCCCCAATCCTTTCTACTTTTTGTTTTGAGATAGTGTCTTGCCAAATCACTGAGGCTGCCCTTGAATTTGGGATCCTCCTGCTTCAACCTCCAGAGTAGCTGGGGTTAGAGACATGTACCTGACTCTTGGGGTTAAACTTCTATCTGAACCTGGCATCATAGAGGACATACTGTCATATATACATATTGGGCTTTCCTTTCTCTGTACTCCTGGGACCAAAACCTGTAAGGAAGGAGCTCCACAGGGAGTGATCAAAGCCTGATAAAAAGGACATGGGCCTAGGAGCCAAGTAGACCAAGAAGTCCCACCACTGTCTCACTAACTCTGATGTTAGTTAAGTCATAGAACCACTTGGGATTCTAGTTTGCCTCGTTGCAAATAGAGAAAATATATTGCACAGAGTTGTGAAGGGTAAATAATGAGATAATATGTTTAGCCATAAATACATTAGTATCCTTTTTTTGGTTCCTATCCAATATATATTTTTGTTCTCTATAGGGGGGTTTGACCTATGATAAAGAGTTGGATGGGTTGTACTCTTTGGGAAAGAGGATGAGAAGTATAGAGGACAGCTGGAAGCATTGTCTGTCATGAATATTGCTTTCTTATTCCCTTGAGCTGCTTATCTCCCCATCCTCTACTGACCTTCCTGTCTCTGCCATTGTAGATCATTCCTTGCTCTGGATGATGTTCTTGAGTCATATAAGCTGGACTGGCCTCTGTGTTTGCACTCCTGCCTGCTGTGACTCTATTTGATCAAGAGACCCTGGAATATCACAGATTCAGAACTACAATTGTCCGTGCTTAAATTTTCAACTGTAAATAAAGATTTTTGTGTATTGTTATTGTTTTTTGTTTGTTTTGGTTTGGTTTGGTTTGATTTTTGTGTATGTGCATGTGTGTCATTTTTAAATGATTATGATGGCCAGGCATGATGGTGCATATCTGTTATCCCAGTGACTCAGGAAGTTGAGGCTGGAGGATTGAAAGTTCAAGGTTAGCCTCAGCAACTTTGTGAAAACTTTAACCACATAGTGAGACCCTTTTTTTTTTTTTTTAAGAGAGAGTGAGAGAGGAGAGAGAGAATTTTTAATATTTATTTTTTAGTTCTCGGAAGACACAACATCTTTGTTGGTATGTGGTGCTGAGGATCGAACCCGGGCCGCACGCATGCCAGGCGAGCGCGCTACCGCTTGAGCCACATCCCCAGCCCCCTAGTGAGACCCTTTTTCAAAATGGAAAATAAAAAAGGGCTGGGGGTATGGCTCAATGGTAGAGCACTCCATTGACTCCCAAGGGGTGGAGGGTGGGGGTAAAATGTGAGTAAAATGGAAAGGTGAGGGGGATAGGTCAAAAAATGATTTCTTGGAAGAAGTGCCATCTGAGATAAGTATTGACAGATTGGTTGGAATTAGCTAGGACATTAGGGTGGGGAAGAAGGAACTATGTTCTTAGTCCAGAGTCTGTAGAGGTGGGGAACCTTACAAAGGAGAGTCTTGGGATGAATCCCTTTCCCCTTACATTGGCAGTCAGCTGGATTTGCGTGTAGTGTGGTCACTGCATATCTGAATAATGTGAGCTCTCAGGGTGGCAAGGGGGACTAGCAGAACTCTGGAGCAAGTTCCCACTTCAGGGCTGGAGATGAATTTCAACATGAACTGTTGGTCCTGTGGCACTTCAGTACCATCTCTGCAGTGGTGTAACAACTCATCTTCATGTCATGCTCATTGAGCATGAAGAGAGCTGATTGAAATAACTGGATGAGTAAGTATGATGCTTTTCTAAGTAACATTTTAAAGACAAAGGTTACAAAATTTGTATTTTGCTTGAAAAACCATCCCTTCAGAGCAGTTATGTAGGGTAGTTGCTCACTTCTTAGGGGGTGCTACTGCACTTTTCTAAGTGTCTTTGTAACAACTTTGGGGTAAAGCTCTCAAGCCTACAGGGCATGCCTTTAAATGGGGAAAGATATTCTTTTTAATATTCAAAAGTCATCTGAAGCTGCAATAGATGAGTATCAGGTTTGGAATCCACCTGCTTCTCCATACACATCATTCCTGAAAGCATTTTCCCACCTGGATTAGTGGTGCAGCTGCTCAGATGACTTTTTTTTCCCACCCCTATACCAGGGCCTTGCATATATGAGACAAACACATGCCTATATCCCCAACTATCTAAGATAACTTCTGCTTCCAGCACCTTCTTTATTTTCTACACCATGTCATTTAACGTGTTAGGCACTAGGCTAGATGCTCAAGGAATTTACAGGTTGGTAGGCAAGATTTAATTAGAGCAGTACAATGTATTGGGTTGGGAGGGACTCCTAGCCTAGTAATATGTGTCAAGAGCTAAAGGGTGAAAAAGTAAGCAAAGGAGAAGAGGAGAAAGGATGTGAGAACAGTATGTGCAAAGCAGTAAATGACTAAAAAAGCCCCTGGAAGTTTGGACAAGGAATGTGGAAGAAGAGTAGGGAGGTACGTTTAGAGAAGTCACACAGAGCCCTGTAAACCACGTGAAGAATTTAGACTATCCTAAGGGCAATGGTAGTCACTGGAAAATAAAGTAAGATAGTGTCATGGTTAAATGTTTTCCAAAGAACATTGGCTATAGTGGGGAATATCAATATAAGGAAGAGGTAGCTGGGTGTAGTGATGTACACCTATAATCCCAGCTACTCCAGAAGCTAAGGCAGGAGGATCTCAAATTCATGATCAGCCTGGGTAATTTAGTGAGACTCTGTGTCAGAATACAAAGGACTAAGGATGTAGCACAGTGGTAGGGTGCTTGCCTGGGATGGATGAGGCCCTGGGTCTAATCCCCAGTACTCCCAAGAAAAAGAGGTAGACTGTTCCTGGTTAAGAGGCCACAAAACAATGCTCCAAGTCAAGAGTTTGGAAGCAACAGCTGGCAGCCAGATCTTACTCCCTGTTTTTCTATGGATCATTCTAAGAATTTGAATGGTCTTTAGACGTCTAAATAATTGAAAGTGAAGAAGAATATTTGTGGCATGTAACATACACATACTTATGGCTACTTTTAGGCTCTGAAATGGTGTAGTTAGAACCTAGTGGCCCACAAAGCTTTAAATATTTACTATTTATAGTTGAGGGTGTAGCTCAGTGGTCAAGTGCTTGATTAGCATATGCAAGGCCATGACAATGATCCCCCCAAACCACAAAACAAATGCATACATACATACATACATACATACATACACTGACCCTGACAGAAAAAAATTTGCCTACTCTTGGTCTAAGCAATAGATAGTGCTGGTCCAGAGTAGTGGCATGAAGAATGAAGAGACTGGATTGATATCAGATTTTTTAGAACCGATTTAGGGAGGCCTTTAGGAGGTGGAATGGTAAGGCATAGATGGAATTGATGGATAAATACTACTATACTAGCCACCTAATTGATTTCCCTACTTCCATTCCTTGCTTCTACAATCTATTCTCAGATGGCAATCCCCATTTAGAACTCTAAAATTGCCCTCTCACTCTTGATCTGAGGATTTCAAATTAATTTGAAATTGACCCTACCCACCTCTATAACCCGATGTTTCATTTTAGTTTTATTGAATTACTTTATTTGCATTTCCCCTGGGGCCCCATCTCTTTTGGCTCCAAGTCTTTCATAATCCTCCCTTTGCTTGAAGTCAGCACTCCACCTTCCTGCTTCCACTCTCAAGATGGTATATGCTTTTGCAACTCTGGAGTGTTGGGAGTTTAAATTTCTGCCTCCATCAAAAGGCAGGAACTGATGTTTCAAAGGACTCCATCCCCAATCAATAGCAGACACTCAGTAAGAATGAATGGGAGTGACTTTAGCAACATTAGATGGCTGCCTCAATTTTACCGTTTGTAAAATATGTATAGTAATCCTTATCTCACAATGCTGTGCGGGAATAAAAATGAAAAAAAAAAACTTGTCCAATAAGCGTGAGTTGAAATTAAGTCTGATTTGTGTCTGATACAAAAAAGACGTGAATACTTAAGACAGACACATTCTTTACAGGTCTGGTAAAAATAGACCAAAGGCAGTTTTCGGAGTACACAGCTCATACTATTTGTGCAGAGCTGAGGCGGCCTTAGCGCCTGCGTGGTCCCTCCAAGGTGACTGTACCGCCAAAAGCACTAGCTTATCGAGAGCATCCGTTAAGTCAGTTCCAGAAACCCTGTGCTGTGCGGTGAGCACACGGCCATTAAAAAAAAGACTTCAATCCCCGCGATAAAGGCCTTAGAGCAAAGAGGGAGGGAAGCCGCCTCTTTATAAGGGCCTGAGATATTTGACCCTTTTCAAGCCCTAGGTCAGGCCAGGTGATATTGGTCCAGGTGTCTCACAAAGCCATTTCTTCAGGCTGGACACAACCCTAAAGAGGCAGCCCGCCCACCCGGGCGGCAGCCTCGTGAAAGTCACGTTCCCTCTGGCCGTCCTAGCCGGTACTCTATGGTTCTCGAGGTGACTACTCTAATTCTAGTTCCGGTCTCTATGGCGGCGGAGGCTGGAACGGTTGTAGGTCGGCCGAATTAGCCGACTAAAGGCCAATGAGCGTAGAGGAGTGATAAAGGTTTAGCCAATAGAAGTAATGATTTCGGGTCAGATGGTGAGATTGACGTTACAGGTGGCCAATGAACAATGCTTAGGGCGGGTCGATCTCAGGGCTTATCCCGCCTGTCCCGCCATTCTCGCTAGTTCGATCGGTAGCGGGAGCGGAGAGCGGACCCCAGAGAGCCCTGAGCAGCCCCACCGCCGCCGCCGGCCTAGTTACCATCACACCCC